ACATCGGGCATGCAAACACGTACGCATGAACAAATTTACACTATTCTCCTACTCAACGCGATACAAAATACAATAACTTATATACAATAGTAATTGTATTCTATGCAACCGGCAATAGAATACAATGTAATCAAATGTACTAGAAAATCAATTATTAAGACAACTAAATCAAGGTTAAATTATCAATTAAATGATAAGGGATAAAATTATGTGCTTAAACTTGTTTGACAACATTATATCTATTTTGCTTTTTCTTCTTTCCAACTACTTTTGTACAATTATTGCGAAATGTTAATGCATATGTAGGCGTAGGTGTACCAAAAAAATCGGCTTCCGTAAAATAAATTTTTAAATAAATAACAAAATTATACGTATATTAAAATATAATTAGAAAATATCATTATGACAAAGTAAGAAATTACTCACACAAAATTGTAAAATATAATTCTTAGTCTAAATATTGTATTTCATTAGTTATCATTTCTACTGCTAACTGTATTATACAAATATTATATTTCATTTTACTTCCCTAATATTACAGTGGACTGAAAAACTTTAGCTCAAAACATGTTTTATGATCTTTAAGTATTATACAGAATTAGTCTACAAAATTAAAGATTAAAATTATATCGATATCTATTAAATTTATGAAGTAAAAGAATTATTGATAATACGTAAAAAAAAAAAAACAAGATATTAATTTAATAAATAATGTATAAGTTATAAATTACATTTAATGAACATTAAAAAAGAAATACATTCGAGCGATATATTAAAAATAGATATAATATTCATTTTAAAAATTACAAAATAATAACAATGTTTTCTATGGCTTTATAGAATTATCTCATAATACACACGCGCGCGCGCGCACACACACACACACATATATTCTGCATGACTTTCGTACTATGTAATTCCTAATTCCACTACGCATTTCCTTATTTCAAGCAAACGTTTTTATTTGATTCAATTTTAACATAATAAGAATATTTATGAAAAATAAGCTATAAAATCCGACGCCAAATAGCAATTAAAACAGAGGTAGATCATCTTTGATGCGAATGAAGAAAGGATAAGAAAAGAATTTTTGATTGAAAAAATCGTGCGTAAATTAATAAATCAAATCAAATTTCATTAATAGAAAAGCAAACCGAATCGAATAAGTTAAAAATATCGTCGTGTAATTCTCACATTCTTAATAATAATATACAGAATTTCCAATTCAAATTTTAAGCACGTAAAGATCCTATTCTCTGGCACTAACACACTAACACACTATCTAAAAAAGGATTTCCTTATCAATACACTTACAGTTAGCGTCTTCGAACTTCCATTTCACCAAACTCTACTTGTTTTACTTTTACCACTGTGACAGAGCATTTCAATAGAATTCAATAGGCTTCCAACAAGTGCAGCTACCCCCCACCCCCTCCCCCTCCACACCCGTAACCAAAACTGCTCTTGGAAGCCGCTATTCCCTGCAATGACAACCCCTCATATTATCTCCTCAGTATTCCGAATGAAGTACTACGTTCTATCATCGGGTCCCTTCCTCCCCCCCCCCTTTGCTCCTTTGCCAATGGAATATTTAATCCGATCCGTGTGAAGACGTGCGCACAACATTTAAGCCGGTCGGCGTTGCTTCGAATAAGCTCTTTCGTACGAGCACGCAGCTCTGCTTACTTGAAACAAAAATAAAACAAAAAACGAAAGAAAAAAATTGTTAATATTAAAAGAAGATGAAAGCCAAGCGCAAAGTCTATTTGAAATCCGAATAAATCATCATGATATTACGAGAGAAAGAATTCCACGGTAGCGTGAAAGTTTTTGGCTTTGTTCGAGGAATTTACATTAAGATGGCTAAATCACGTTTCTAATAGTAAGTACAAAGAAAATTAATACAAAATCAATGTAAGAATTGCATTTATACAGAGAGACACCTGTGAAGTGATAGCATTTTATTTTATACACCGACTGAGTCTGTTAAGGTAGTGTTGTCGTTTACTGAATGCACTATTTGCTCACGAGCGTTTCGTCACTATCATTGCCAAAAAATCTTCTTCGCGTCCAAAATTCTTTTCAGCGTGGGAATAGCTCTTTTTGACGTGTATTTTTTTTTGTTTTTTCATTTGCATTGCCCGTAAATGTTTGTGTTAAATTGTGTCAAGAAGATTGCATGTGTGAAGCTGCTGGCCGACTATTTGCGAAGCTCATTCATTATATTATGTGAACTAATCTTTGATTGAAACTATTCTAGTTATTTCTTAAAATGTCATTTGTGATAGATTGTTTGAGAAATTTCTGATGAAATTCCAAGGAAGATAAAATGATTGGTGGAGCATTATATAAGTTCAAATTAAACGACAAATAAGGTTAATTCAATTGTATTCCATTTTATCAACATTAATTCATCTCTTTATTTGGAAGCCAAAGTAATTGACCGTTTGATTAAATTATGGCAATTATTATTATTATCTATTTCGTTATGAGTTATTTATTTATTAAAATATTTATTAAAAAATTTATTTATTAAAAATTTTATATATTCTAAAAATATACTTAATTTACAAATAAAAATACTTCGCTTATGTCATTTATAAATTATTCGGACGGAGGATCGAGAAACTAAAATAATTTAATTTGCTACATAGTTAACCAATCTTAATAAGAAAACTATAAAATTAAATTTAAAAAAGCATATCCTTCATTATCCGATTAAAATGAGATTCAATTTTATTCTTCAAATTATCAATAGATTTTTTTTTTTAATATCCTTTTTGATTTTATTATCTCTATTATATTTTTATGTAAAATTAAAAGATAATTAAGTTAATAATATATATATATACGAAATGAACAATATGAAAAATAGTATACTACTTTTTTTTTAGTTTTTTTAATTAAATATATGAATAATTAGTTTGTAATATTAAATATATATTTTCTGTATTTTACATAAAAATATTGAATTATTTATTATAAACATAGACTTTATTCGATACAATATTATGTAGTATTCGAAATAAGAAATACCTTATGTTCTAGAACAAGAGTACGGAATGTAACTTTATTTAAACAATCACATTTATATTCTTTCATATATATGTCGTAATTTAGTATTATATATAATTACAAAAAGTAATTATCAAAAAAAAAAAAAAAAAAAAAAATTGCCAAATAAATTAAATTTGTATATAAAAAATCTTAATCTTATAATAAAAAAACATACGTCACCTCACACTTTCATATAATTTATAAACTTTTATAATCTTTTTTCGTAAATAATTGTGTCGTTTATACGGCTATGTTGACAAATCTACCGATAAACTATGTTGATAAGTATTAAATTATTTTAAAACTCTTAATGTACCTATTATTATAAAATTAATTACTTTCTTTTTTAAAGAATCTCCTTAAATGTATCAAACTTATCAATCGACAAAATCTTGCTTCTCATAAATGATCTGGGAAATCTTTATGAGTCTTCATTTAGAAGTCTACGTAATGAGTCTAAAACGGATGATTTACTGAAGAAATATATTGCCGATAATTACCAATTATCTGAATTAATGAAAGAGGTTTGTAAAATTATTATATACTATACGCATTCACACAGTGTAATTCGTTTTATGTCAATATATTTATAAACATATGTCAATATTTTTACATAAATTTACGCGTGATAAATATTAAACTACTTTGAATTAAAAATACTAATTATTGAAATGACAATGAATGATTACATCGAAAAGTAATGAACAAAAAAAAAATGTTTATTTCAATATCTTTTTAAGATCATATGCGCCAGTTACGTATTAAGTGATTGCGATTGATTATTCACGATAGCCTAAATGCGATAATAAAATTAATGAAACTCTATATAATAAATATAGATAATAACTCTAAATAAATATAGATTTCAATTTAATATAATTGAATATTACATTGAAATTGAAGCGACATAAATTATTCAAATATTCCATGTTCTTGGCTTTACAGTTAACACCGAAATGTACTGATATACTTTTGAAGTGTCGTTTTCGTTCCTCTAATAGAAATTGCTCGAATCTTTTTTCATTTCGGAAGACCCAAGATGGTTACTGTTGTTTATTTAATTATATCCGAGAACACGATGAGACTAATAAAAGCGGGTAAGTTTCTTATTGAATGAAATAAAATGTTTCAACAATGTAAAAATAATGTTTATCCGTGTTGTTTGTCATTGTGTATTCAGGAAAGAAATATATTTTCAAGAATTTTATTCTTGACTAATTGAGAAACTTATGTTGGTCGTTCAACAACAATTATGTTGAAAATATTAATAGTTTATAATAACATTTCAGTACATTTAAATTTGAATTAAAAAAATGAAAAAAAAACTTAAAAATTATTAAAATATATATATATATATATATAATGCAAGCATATGCTTATTAATTAATCATCTTTTTATTAATAATTTATAAACATATTTTCATGCTATATTAATAGAAAGCAACTTAATTATTGTACTAGTGTTATAGTTGTATAGTAATTTTCTGTAATTATTTGTCTAGTTGTTAGAATTTATTTAGTGAGTTTTATTTATAATTTCATTCGCTTATTATATTATTTGTAATTAGTAAATCAGTAATAAAATAAAATACTAAAATTCTAAAGGAATACACGTTTGTAGAATAACAGGACAATTAATAAACAATAATAAATAATTTGAATAAAACGAAAATAATTTGTTGTATAGTCGTTGAAATTTATGAAGTAATTTATTTGTAGTATAAATAATATAATTTATATTATAAATAAATTTCATCTTATATACGGATGCACTAATAATTTTGACAATAATATATTATTATATTTATTATTAATAATTAATAATTTGCATTAAATAAACTTTTCAATTTATACCTTATCAATATACATGTTAAAATATATCTTTGACAAATACATAAATATAAATTTACAAAGAAGATAATTTTACCAGGCAAATGGCTAAAAGTCGCACAAAAGATCCGCTGAAAATCGAAAAACTTACCATATTGAACAGTTTATCGTTTCTTATTGATCCATATTTGAATGATTACTTTTACACAATCTTACCGCTTACTGGATGGAAGGTAAGAATCTCCATGTTTGTATTCGCAAAACTTTGTATGAATTAATAAATTATAACAAACAACCTAAGCAAATAAATTGTAACTTTACTTGAAAATGTTACAGTTAATATTTGATTTTGTATATAGTAAATTGACATCTCATTTTTATCAAAAGTATTTACAGATACAATAATAAATGAATTGTTATTGCAATAATGTTAATTATGATAAGCGTACAAAGTGTAAGTTTATACAAATTTTTATCTAACTTAATATTTAAGTAATTATAATATATATATATATATATATATATATATATATTTCACTAAAGAAACTTTAATTAATTAAAATCTGTAAATTCAGTTTCATTATTAAAATACAGTAGACTTAATTTGAAAAGATTAAGTATACTAATTATCGAAATATGTGCATACAATATTTAATTAAATTTTTCAATTATTAAATTAAAAATCTTAATTCTACCTTTTATATTTAATTCTGACATTATAAATATATCCTATTATCTACATTTTATCTTATCTTTTTCATACTATATTGTAAAATCTTACAATGACTTACACTATATTATTTTAATTGTACTTTATCTACTTAAAATTTTAGTAAAATTGGATTTCGCATCAAGATACAAGCCTTTTATAATTTTATTTGACTACTAAAACTACCCTCGTACTTGAATATAATAGTGTTAATAGCAATATTCATAATTATATTTCTAAAGATTATAAGTTTACCTTGAATTTGCACATATTTAATTAAAAATATATCGTAATTATATTGAAAAATATTATCCAACTAACTTTTCTTCAATCTTTAAGAATAAATTATTAAACTATTTAAATGAAAACAAAAAGTGAGAAAAAGAGTCTTTATAGATAATTTAAATTTTCTCGGTTTTTATTATTAGTTTTCTTTATTTTTTCATTTTTCATTTTTTTTTTTTTTTTTTTTTTTTCAATAAAATTTTAGCATATTGTGCTCTATTTATGTTTTCCTACATAAATCAAATGATTGTAAGACGAAGCTTTTATTATAAATTCGAACATTCTACCAACTTCATTGTCAACGCAACTAGAGAGCACTTAATACAATTTAATATTACAAACGTTTACTAATATTACGATCGTTTGATATTCAATACAATTCGACTACATTATCAAGTATTTCATTGACATTTACTTTTAATAAATATCAGATGCTTTTTCTACAATATAAGATTAATCCGTCCACTTTTTATCTAAAACTTTTCATTTTATCTCTACTATTTCGCGGTTTATAGATTATGTATAAAAAAAAAACAACTAATTAATATAAATATTTTATACGAAAATCTATTCACTATTTCATTATAAAACCATGGCTTTTCTTATCTATTTGTTTCGAGAAATACTTTTTCAAAAAAATTTTTTTTGGATGAACTGGAATAACGATGAAAAATTTTTAATATTTATTTCGTAAAAATATCGATATATTTGATTCAGGAGCTTCATTAAAATTGAGGATTTCATAAATTCTAATATATATCCATATTAAATAATTAGATTAGAAATATTTTTAAACAATTAATATCATAATGCATTTGTATGTACATATATTCCGTATCCATATCTATAATATTTCTATCAGAAATATTATTACGAATGAATCTATCTATATTATATTCTAATCGTAATTCTTATCTTTTATGAATATTTTTTTATGTCCTGGCATGACACCTTTATCTCTCACAGGTAATATAGACCTTTAGAACAATTAAAGGCTCCGCAATGAAAATATTATGATAAGAAGTTTGTATACGATAAAAGTTTAATAATTTATGTAAAATTTTAATTTACACTTAACCTTTGAAATTTATATATTTAATCTTGTACTAACATTAAAGATTAAAATTTTTTTGTAAAATTAATGCAAAAGATTAGTATTATTGTTCAAAATATTATGAAATAATTGAATTATTACTTTTACACCAAATATCTTATTTATCGAAATTTTTTTTTTTTTGATTATCAAAGGAAAGGAAGTAGGTATTTGATCGATAAAAAAAATTCAGTCACAAGTATGTGTAAGTAGATCAACTAAAAAACTATCAATATGAAACAATTATTAAATGGTCGACTAATAAAAACTTACTTTACTAATATTGATTATAGATGAAGTTATGGAAGGTAAAAGTAGATATGCATACAATTATTTGAAATAATGAATTTTCGTAATGAAAATACGTATAATTTAAATTATTTGATACTTAAAAAATTTCATTAAATGGTAGTGGATTTCTCTAGTAATATTATTGTTACCGAATAATATCTCTGTCATGTCAATTCGTGGAATCCATTTCACGTTGTCACGTCACGCAGATAATGATCTTCAGCCCAAACGATTACCCCGACAATACGTCAGGAGGTGTCACCGAGACTCTGATTTCGCCAGGCACTGAGAATTTCCTCGAGCTGAATGCCGTTTCCTTCTTCACCGAAAAGGCGGTTCGCCACTTCGACATATACGACCGCAAGTGCATCTTTAAGGACGAGATATCGGCACTTTATAACGCTTACACGTACAGCGACTGCATTGTCGACTGTAAGGTGAAGGACATCTGGGAGACATGCGGATGTCAGCCTTTCTTTTATCCTATACGCAGTAAGTTGATTGGTTGAGTCACAAGACATCTAATGATTAAAATTAAAAAATCATGAAATGTAAGGTGAGGCAACTTTCAATCTCTAATGAGAATACATTTAGTAAGGAAAATTGCTATTCCGTACCGGTACTTAGATTTTCATTATTTTAAAGAACAATCGGAAAGATAATGCAACGATTTACTTTCGTAGTGCATTTAAGTAAACTACTGTAAAAATACGAAAAAAACACAATTACAAATAACAAATTAATTTGACATATTAAATATATTCAATTAAAAGTATCATTCGTAAAAAATGTATTTTAAATGTAATAGAAATATTTTTATTTTAAAATAATTTATCGGTTTCTTTTCAAAATATAGGATTTTTAAATATTATTCATTTAAGCTAATAATCGAGAGAAAATTATTTACATTTATATACAAATTCATTTTTAGAGATATAAGTTATTTTTAATGTTTATTAGATTATCCTATTATCATTTAAGTCAAAATAGGCTCTAATGTGTCGTACGAAACAAGTTACTAAGACAATTAATTTATATGTAATAAGAATAATTATCGTTATACAATAAATGAAGTTGATTCAAAATATCATATTAAATAAATTATATATTAAATGTTATATTAAGAAATAAAATTCTATATTTGAAATTTAAATTACTTTATTCAAATAATATCTATTCAAATTCTTATCAAATTATTGCACGTATATTTCACATTTACTTACATAACTCTATATTTGAATCATAGTGAATGTATTGAGAAAGAAATTAACATGATTAATTTGAAATTATCGATAATATATAACGATATTTTATATGAATCAAAAGAAAACAAAATCTTTTCAAATTCATGCAAATTACAAAGGATTTAATAATTTAAAAAAGTAATAAAACCAACATTCAAATGAAAGCTTAATAAATAAATATCATTAATTTTCTTTTTTTAGTGGATAAATAATCTTATATTTATATATAAATATTTTTATTGTTTAAAGTTTAATTTTCTCAAAATTCAATCCGTCTAAGATCTTGAACAAAATACAATTCCACACATTCGATAGAATGTTAGATAGAATGATAGAAGAATTTTGGTCTCTCTGTCTATCTTTTTGTCTTTTCTCTTTTTGCTCTCTCTCTATCTCTATCTATCTATCTCTCTCTCTCTCTCTCTCTCTATATATATATATATATATATATATATATATATATATATATATATATATATATATCCCTCTCTGTCTAACACAACACAGGTATACATACACGTGCGCACACGCCTCAACATAGTATACCTACAGCCTAATTGAATTTTTCTTGCTCTCTTAAATTAAAGCAATGCAGAAAATAGGTGATCTGTAACGAAAAACGTTGCTACTATTGCATTACATTTTTTATGTATATATAGTTTTAAAGAACTATATATGACAATTATTTTTGACTATTAGGACAAATCAGAATTTAAAGTATTAATAGGTTATTTCAGGAATAATGCAGCATTTATTCTGTGACAAATATGTTTGTGACATTTTGTTTCCTTTCCTATCATTTCTCATCGCAGCAAAACCGATTACAGGAAACGTCTTTTACTCTCTATCTATATATCTCTTTCTATTTGTGTCTCTCTCTCTCTCTCTCTCTCTCTCTCTCTCTCTTTCTCTTTTTCTTTTTATTTATATCTTTCAATCAATCATTCCATAAATTTTCAACCTTATTAAACCAATCTTTAAGTAATCTGGAATTCATTTGTTTCAAATTGATATACGTGACAGCAATTAAGTTAAAAAAATATTTCTCATTCACTTACAAAAAAATCCAATCATTTACTATCCTATTTCATTTATATATTAATCGATTTATTTGAATTTAATATTTTTATTGGATAATCATTCGACGTAAAATCTAAATATTACATTTAAATTCAATGCGCATTTGCAGATTCACATCGACTGTGTACTTCATCCGACAACCTTTGTTTACATTATCACAAAAGTAAGTGATTCAAATTTTTTTTTAATCAAATATTCTATCTACCTCCCTTGGATTATTAGATTCGATCATATTAACAATATATTAATTATTTCTTACTTTTACATAAACTATTTACCTACACATACATTATGTTGGCATACTCCAACATTTTATGTTTAAGAATATTTTCTATCGAAATATTTACAATTAAATATATAAGCAATTATATGCTAAATAACTATTGATTGACACAAAACTAATTAGAAAATTTTATTGATAAATTCATTGGTCGTAAATTTTTAGTTGTAAAACAGACATCGTTATCTAATTATTATACAATATAAAATATTTCAATATTCTGCAATTTCATTGCTTAAAGTTATTTGAACGTTATGAAGTTAAATAGAATATATCAATTATTTCATTATGTACACGTCATTTTTACCGTTAAATCTATTCAATTTGACATTTTATATTCATTTCAATCAATAATAGTTCAATAATTTCTGAATTTTAGTATTTCATTATTTTTATTTTTAATAGTAATTAATGCGATCTTATAATAATACAAGGATTATACGAAACGACAATGAGATATAAGAATTGCTTTAATCATGGATTAAACTGATTTTTAATTTACAATAATTGTGCGTGTATTAATTTATTACTTAAACTAACAAAAAATATATCGATAACAAATAGAGCTAGAGACCCAATTGAAAAGCAAACATTTAAATCACGTAGCTCTCGGTGCAAAGTGCAATAAACTTTCTATATTGACCTCGCATCAATGTTATCTAACAATCTACACGAATACCGCCGATTTCACATAGATACATGAAGCGATAAAGAAGAGAAGCAGTAGCGAAACATCATCGATCGGTACCAAAGCAGTTGCGACGCTAATTAAACGATGAGATCGCTCACAACACCGAGCATTCAGTCACAATAAAATATTAATAAGATATTTTTTACAATAGTCTATATTTTCAACACGCTTTCGAAAAATTAATGTAATTTCGATGAGCTAAATATTAGAAGCGACTTAAAATTTACCTTTTAAGCGTGTCCTTAAGGATCTTTGTTTTTCTGTCTAATAATGATCTACACGATTTTAATGGCCTATTTGCGATTATTCTATTATACGTTTCAATCGGCATGAGATATATAACGTTAGATATATTTCCGATAAATAAGAATTTAATTTAATGTAATTGATTGATATGTCAATATGTAATATGTATAGCAAAATGGTGGTCCGTTATGCCGCATAACATGAAAGAAGAAAGTGAAGAATCTAGAATATTTAACTTCATCAGCAATGAGACATGGTCGCTGCGTTGCAAAAATTGCTATCCGTCCTGCGATGACGTACGCTATTCTCTCCAGACTTCGAGTATTGTCCTGAGAAATGATGGAGAAACTTCGTTCCTGTAAGAATTTATAAAATTTGTAGTTTACGTAGAGTCAATTTTTTAATCGAATTATATAGAATATGCATTGTCAGGAAAACTATTAGAAGCATTTGATTTTAAGAAGAATAAGATGTAAATAGGATTACAATATAAATCATAAAATACGTTTTCAGTAAATGAAATTAATCAATTTATGAGTAAGAGTTGCTTATCCCAAATAAGAAATCTTTTTTATAATTTTCATTATAGAAAGGACATCGACATCGTAAATCAGAGTTTGGTACACATATATTTCACTAAATATGGAACGTTACGTCTTAAACAAGACAGAGCGTACTACTGGTACGAATTGTTGAGTAAGTAAATTTGATATTTATTTTACCATTTTATAGCTCATATCAAAATCTTGTTTATAAGGATATTATAATGATTGTTTATGAATAACAATTATTAAATCAAATAAAAAGATAAGATTACAATTTAAGTCAATTTTCAATTTTTCTTATTCATAAAATTTTATCTCCACATTTTTTATTCTACATGAACAATTCGTCATTAGGAATAACGAATATTCTTTACGTATCAAGAATTAAATATACATAATTTTCATAATATGCCTAATATAAGCACATGAAAAGTATATAAAATTATAATAAAAAATTCAAACAAAAGCGTTGGTAAAAATTTTTCTTCTACTTTTTTTTCATAATAATACAATGATATACTATTATATTTCATGTTTATTTATTATATATAAAATTTTATGATTTATAATGCAATGAACAATCAAATAATAACTATTTCGTTTAATCATATCTTGCATGTCACGTCAATAAAGAATTCGTTTTGATAATTGATTACAAATTTTTACACACTAGTATTTGAATGCTCATTAAAGTTAAGAGAAATAAATAACATGTGATTATGTGAAATTCCTCTCTCTCTCTCTCTCTCTCTCTCTCTCTCTCTCTTTCTCTCTCTCACAATTGACCATTTGATGAATGAAATTATCTTCAACACGGGAAGTAATTTAGTTGCTTTAACGAAATTTATATTTATATAAAAATTATGCAAATTCTTTTAGCTATTTCTATCATTTGAAGCGTTAAATTATTTAAATATCTTTATTGTTTTGTACTTATTTATAAAACTTTTAAACTATAAGTTTATTCTACAAGTTTTTTTACTAAATAATGAAATATATATGAAATAATAATTCTGTTACTGTAAAATATGTTTTTGAAGTATTGATTAAAATCTTTTAAAATTATTAAATAATAATAAATCAATATAGAATAATTAATAATTTAATAATTAAACTACTTAATTTGATATTTCATGTTATCATTTCATATAAATAAATTTAATTTTGGCTGAATGTTCAAGACAATTCTTATACTCCAATTTATTTTGTTATAATCCAAATAAATATTTAACAATATTTCATATCTATTAGATGAAATATTATAATAATAATACTGTCATGCTTACCCAGAAAATGACTAATAAAATTACATACTCTTAATAAAAGTTGCATTATTTCTAATAAAGAAACACCCATTAAGAACACAAGATAATAAATTAAAAATATTGAAAATTTGGAAACTATAATGCCTAATCCTAAAAATACTATTCAATCGTTATTAAAGCTTTTAGAAATATTTTAATTCAGTTTTATGAATATGCCGAGTAAAGCTAAGTTACTAAATTGAAATATCGATTTTCACGTTATCTTTCTAAAATATAATAATAAATCTCTATATCTGCTTTAGTTAATTTAAATAAAATGCAGGAAATTTATGATCTAAAATTTATTCCATGTATTACAATTTATTTTTTCAATAAATAAAACGTTTATTGTAATAAAACATGGATGGAAATATTCAGAAAATGACTTTTGTTAATTTGCTCTAAAAGAATAAACTATAATAAAAAAAGATTATTTTATTGTTATACACTTTATAAAATAAGTATGAAAACAACGTTTTAAAAATTTGTTTTACCGCCAGAATATGAGTAAACTTTGATAATATGCATTGTCAACATATGAATCGTTGAAATAAATTTTCGTAAAGTAGACTAAATGGTCGATACCAGTACTGAATTTGTCTGCAAAAACTCAGTGATACAATCATATGCATAGTCAGACTGGTAAGAATTAGTTCCCCCATCTGTCAATAGTCCTTATTAATAAGAATAGAAATTCTTTTGTGATTAATAGTAAAATTAAATAAATAATAATTAAAAATTAATTCTTCCGCCAATCATACATCCATACAATTATAAATTAAAAATAAATATATAATTCTAACTTATACTTTTTTTCATACTATAATTACACTGTCTTTACATTCGGTATAATTGTTAAGATAAGATTGTTATTTTGACAATTATTTTTGACAATAAAGTATATAAAAGTATTTAAAACAAAAATAATATTATGCAATTTTCGTTTATTTAGACGAAATATTGCTAATAATAAATAATTCCACGGATAAAGAGAGAGAGAGAGAGAGAGAGAACATACATTATAACTATCGATATCTATAAATCAATAATCCAAATCATGAGATCTAGTCAGAATTTTAAACTTAATTTTCACTTGATTCAAGCTTTAACTAGTGAAAGCTAGGAGAATATGACTTTAACAGATAAAATAAAGCATATATTGTGCTAAATTTTTTACATTAATTAACACGTCTCAAATAGACAGATAGTAAATTATTTAAATTAGCCAAAAAATATTGAATTGCATTATAATCTTAATCAAACATTTTCTATTACTTTTCAAAATATCTATTTACAATGAACGAATGCAATTTTTACACAGTTCTGCATAGAAATAATAATTCATGTTTATATAGTCAATAATAATATTATTAAACATACATACATACACGATATTAAATGTACGTATCAAAGTTAAAATAAGAGGCAAAATAATTAATTTCAAAGAAAAAAATTACCATAATCTAAAACTTCTCGTTGCCTTAACTTTAATTATGACTTTAATTTTAAAATATTTTCTTTGCTAGGAGAGAGATAACTTGCAAATATGTACAATATGAATGATCAGTAATTTAATTATTGATAATACTAATAATATGAAAATCTGTATATAGCAATTTTTAGACTATGATATATATTAAAAATAAACAAATTAGAAATTTTTAGTATTTCAATATCACATTTCGCATAATACATTATATGGAAAGTATAATTTAACTTTCAGTTTAATTTTTTTTTTAATGAATTTTAACACTTACAATTTCTGATTTTTAGCTTACACTTGCAAAGTCTTTCTTAAATTTTTAACATTAAAATTTAGAATTTTTCAGCATACGATATTTTTAAATCTTTCATTTCTACATTATGAACAATATCTATTATATTTATGTCAATGAATGTAATTAGTATTCAACTTATGGATTATTAAATCTAGTATTGTAGTAGAACATTACTGTGTATAAGAGTCATTGTGTCATTATATTACGTGAAACTGCTTACTAAACAATATCTAAACAAAATATGTCACATTATCCTGAATTAATAGATCTTATTTAAATAATCTCAAAATCCTTCAAACAAATTTTTGGAAATTTTCAATACTGTAGTATCAGCTTGAAACTGTCTATCTCTGTGTGAAAGCTTTAGTAAAGGAGATAGAGTGTGAGTATACAACTTCTCTAGTTAGTCGATCTAAGTTTTTGCATAACGCTTGCCTAATTATAAACAGCTGACAGTCTATCGTTATTTGAATATTTTAGGATAATAAAAGATTTTAAAAATTTGAAGTTGCTCTTTTAGTAGCTGAAAATTAATTAGAAGCGACTTTACTTTCTACTTCGAGTGTTTAATTTAGTTTTTGAATTTTAATGATATTTAATGCTAAATGCCTGAAATTTAAATAAAACTTATATACTTCTAGCCTTTTGGGTAAAAAAAAATCTATCATTATCCAAGATTTCAAATAAACTGCCGATGTATTAACAACATGTATTTGTAATGACGAATAAGATCGACGAATTTCAGATAGAAATGGCGGAAAATCACTGCATCTATAATTGTTTGTTAATTGTAATTACAGGCGACATTGGTAGCCTATGTGGCGTCTTCATTGGATTTAGTCTCATCAGCGCAGTTGAGTTTATTTACTTCTTGGTGCTGTCAAGTGCGAGACTTTATTCAGGCACACGCAGCATATCGGAATCATCGAGTGATCGTCATGAAGAGTCGGAATCACGTGACTTACGATCCCTTTACTGGACCGAGCTAAAACCCCGCGGCAAGTCCGCAAACGCAAAAACGAAAACTCGAGCGCTGAATCTTCCATTTCGTGATCTATGATCGAAAAAACGTGATTATCCTATTTTGCTGCACTTGCCACTTGCCTTTTACCGAGGTTCGACTTTCCTAAAATTTTCCGTTTCTCATCTTGCCTTAGGCATTTGCAATATAAATAAAATATATTAAAAACTGCATTATATTAAGGCAAAGATCTAATTCTCCTGTACATGAACACGAAAAACTCAATTAAAATAATATGCTTATTTCAATTGTGATACAGGAAACGAGAATTTGACATAATGATAAATTAAATATATCATTTATTAAAATATAGTATAAAAGCGATGCACCTTATGTATTAATATTTTAATATTTATACTTAAAATACCAAATTTTTCTTTACGATTTTTCTTTATTTGCTTCAGACTTGTAATAATTGAATATTATTTATTAAAAAAATAAAATGCCTTTATAGAATTTTAAAATGTGTAAATCTTATTAAATGAGATTATCTCAGTAATTGTATATATTAAAATGAATGTAATATTCCATTATTAGTTTATAAGATTACGCGAAGAGAAACAATAAAATTTATTTTATTAATATTAATAAACATTTATTATTATTTTATATTGCTGATTATTTAATTTGCTGTCTTATTTAATTAAGTGAAAAAAATTAAGATTTCAACTTAAATTGTTTCAATGCTTTATTTTATACAATAAAATGAAAATAAAATACATAAAAAGTATTCAAATGCATATATGCCGCCAAAAGTTACTGCTCTACGTTAAAATATTATACTATTGCAGTAACGGTAAACGTGTACTATATGTAATTTGTGTATTATCTACAAGTGATACTGACAGGTGACATTTATATAAACTCGTCTAAAAAAAAAAATGGAATATCATGTGTAAACTTTGAATTAAAATAGTTAAGTATATATTCTGAAATAGAAATGGTACGACTCATTATTATTTACTTTTTAACAATTTGTTGAAATTTGTTTGCTGCTGAAATGTTATATGTAAAGTTTAGGTTAATAAATGCATAAAATTTATTAAAAATAAAATT